TTGGGTAGTAAAATTTTTTGTTTATTCCTCTGCGTTTTTCTGCCCGAAACCCAACATAACGATGATAGTATAATGTAAATACATGGGTTTGATGGTTGTTTGATGGGCATAAGTCTCTAATTTCTACGTAGTAGTTATTATTGAGTATATTAATTAGATAGTTTCTCAAAGCTTTTAGTATTACGTTTAGTATACTGAATAGCTTTTGAAAGATAATTTGAGTATCACTATAAACTTTTTTAGATGAAAATTGAAAAACAAAACTAAAAAAACTGGTGAAATTTTCTGACGGCAGCGGGTGTTTACGACAACTGCCGGCAAATATGACTGAGCCAGCAGTGGGATAAGGGGAAGCGCTGGATAGTTGGATAGGAATTAGAAATAAAAGAAAAATAAATTAATTAAATAAAGTTTAATCGCATACATCTAATATATATTAGGGAAAACTATCAAATAAGCCCCCGTGCTATGCCGAAAAAGTTGATTAGGCTCTCGTACTTTACAAACACTCAATTAAGTCCTCGAACTATTAAAAAACGTTCAATTAAGCCCTTTTGGTCGGTAAGTAATCAGTTTCCCGGTTAAGCGGCGACGACGGTGACGATGTGCTCGAACCCCAATAACGGCGGCTGCCGGGAAACAGATTACATTTAACCGGCAAATCGGTGACTTACCGACCGAAAGAGCCTAATTGAACGTTTTTTAATAGTTCGAGGACTTAATTGAGTGTTAGTAAAGTACGAGGGCCTAATTGACTTTTTCGGTATAGTACGGGGGCTTATTTGATAGTTTTCCCTATATATTACTTATAAATATAATTAATTGACAAAATATTACTATAGTTACTATGCATAGTCACTATAGTTACAAGGCTAAACATATTTATGGTCACTATAGTTACTCTAGTAATGAAGTTAAAATGGAAGAGAAATTAAATCCAAAACCAAATTGGGTATTCTCCCGATAGTCGGGAACTATTTCTGATATCAAATATATATATATAATTAGAAAATAAGACTACAAATTATAAAGTACAATAAAACCACTCTAAAGCAATGCCCGAGCTAAATAAAAGTTTTAAGGCTCTATTCAATTGGACTTATTTCAATGCAAGATTAAACAAGATCAAACCCTTGATTAGACTTAAATGAACCATATTCGATAATAGATAATATAGAGTTCGTATACCACGGGGCGGTGAGCACCACGCTCCACACCCAAAACGACGTAGTTTTAATCAATTTAAAAAAATTCGTGAACAGTACTACATGCGTGTACAATAACTGTTTTTAATTTTTATTTTCATTACAATAGCATGAATGATGTAACTTGTGCATAATTTTAGATGTACCTCGTGTTGTTACAAATGTAACTTCAGTTAACAACATATGTAACGTGTGCCCTGAAATGTAACTCATGTTTAATGAATAAGGAGTCTAATTGTCCAATTATTTTACATAAATTGTGCATACAATTTGTTTTTAATATTAGGCTCATTAAAATGATTGTTTTATAAAAATGATTTTTTTTATAAAAATGATTTTTATTTGAATAGGAGGGGCTTATTGGGTTGTGTAACTCGCATTATATTGTGATGTAACACATGTTTTGGAAAATGTAAATCAAATGTGAACAATATGTAAATTGGTAAGAAAAGTTGACATGTAACTGACACTACGTACTTTGTACCTCCGTCCCATTAACATCGGGACACGAAAATGTGTTGCGATTATTAAGAAAAGTGAATGTATGTAGTTCATATTGAATTGATAAAGTAAAAATAAAGTAAGCATAACTTACAACCACACACTCTACCAGAGAGTAAACATGAGATAATCTTAGAGCCCATTTGGTAACACTAGAATTGGCTGAATCGGCTGTTTCTGCTGATATTTATAAAGTTTTGGCTGAAAATATTTTAAACCTCGAAATAAGTTACACAACATGGTACTTCATAAAATATATTATTTATACCATCGATTATGAAACAAGGAAGCCCCAAAAAGGCCCCCAATCTGGCCGCCTGCTTGGCCGCCTTTGAAAAATCAGAAGTCAACAGTTGACTTTGACCCGAACTAGCAGAAGGCGCCCAAAAAGGCCCCCAATGTGGCCGCCTGCTTGGCCGCCTTTGAAAAATCAGAAGTCAACTGTTGACTTTGACCCGAACCAGTAGAAGACGGAAGGCTGCCGACGGAGGACGGAGGGCGGCCGCCCTCAGTGGCCGCCCTCAGTGGCCGCCTGCGGCACAAGGGGACGAATCCAACCACCGGCCGGTGCGATTCGACGGAAGGCGGCCAGACAGAAACGGCAGGCGGCCGCCTTCTAGACCGCCTGCGGCTGACGAAGACCGGCGCACGTCCGTTTGCCGGCGACAAGACGGAGGGCGGCCAAAGCTGGACGAAAGGCGGCCGCCTAACTGGGTGCCTTCGGAAAAATTTGGGCTATAAATACCAGGCTTTTTCCTTATCTCAAACACACCAATTTCAAGCCGAAATCAGATAAAAAAGGGCGTCTTCTTCCTCCTCAAAGCTCGGATTTCCACCATTGTTGCACCTTCAACTTCAATCTTTCATATCTTTCTCATTTTAGATCCAAAATGTGAGTTCTTTATATGTATTTTCATCCTTTAAATGTGTAGAATCTGAATCTTTACTTTGTTTGTTCTATCTGTGCTTCGAAAATTCCCAGAAAATTATTACACTATTTCGCATTTTCTTCATAATTTTGAATAAAATAGTTCTTGATATTGAATTCATTCCAATTAATTATATATTTGTTTACTAGCCTCAAGGTAGGTATTTATCAAAACAAGTTAATTTTTACGAAGCAGAAGTAATTTTTCATTAATTCCGGCATTTAGTTGTTATTATTGCATAAATTAAATTAAATACTCAAAAAGGTAAAAAAAATAGTTTCTGTCATTATTCCAGTTTAATTCAAAGTAATATCACTCCCAGTAGTCAATATAAAATTTAGAACGAATTTAGAATATTTTTAGTTGCTTTTTGCATTTTCTAGTTAAAATTGGGAAAATTATCAATTACTCGGGTAGTTGTTAAAATTGGATTTTAGGTTCGAAAATTCGTGAAAAATTCCAGAAAGTTATACTTTAGTTTCTACAAGTTTATTGTTCCAGAATATAAGTTTTTCTATCATCCATGTTTAATTCCTTGTTAATGTTGAATATATTCATTATATTGTTAATTGTTAAAATGATCTTTATTAGCTAATTTGTTTTGGGCATGAATTGACTAAAGGAATATGGATTGACTTGTTGACCAAAAAATTAGGGATTAAAATTAATAATTTGGACTAGTTGTTCGAAATGATGAAATAGTAATTAATAATTGTTAGCCATATTCATTAATTAATTTCTTGGAAAATTATCTCTAACTTGTCTATGAGATTAGAAAATAATTTAAGCCAACCATATTCGATCACATTAATAAGGCCTAGAAATAGGATAATTTAATGAAAGGGATTTACATCTTGTCTATGAGAGATAAATTCAATTGCTTAAATAATGAGTTTAACTAGTTAATGAATTTGGCTATTTTTATTAATTAAAATATTGGAGAATTATTTCTACCTTGTCTATGAGTTAGAATATAATTCAAGCCAACCATTTTGAACACATTAATGAAACCTAGAAATAGGATAGATTAATGAAAATAGTTTCTATTCTTGTCTATGAGGAAAGAAATTATTAGTCCAATTTTAGCTTTAATTTCCCTAATTACTAGGTCCAAGAATATATCCATTTCTAATTACTCAATTCATTGCTCTTATTTGCATCAATCCATTTAAGTTTAATATTAAATTTTTTCCTTTAGTTTATTTTTGAGCCATCATTAGTATTATCACAATTTAATTTACTTTCTTTTCCAAAAAGTAGTTTAGAAAATCAATCAAAAGTTTTAATTTGGAAAGCTTCCAATAATTTGGGATAACGTGTGACTGGACTTAAAATCAAGAAGCTCCTCCGTCATTCCTCGAGAGACACGATACTCGGGGAAAAACCGAAAGGTTAGACTCCGTTTTACTACAACGCCGCGAAAGCGGTCATCAATGTCGTATTAGCTAACTTTGTCATAATGAATGCATGAAATGTATAAAATTTAAAATGATACGAGTGTATGCTTAAATGTGTATTTTCATGTCTAAATTATTTATTTACTACCTCCATTCTCTTTTAATTGCAACATTGGACTTTTTGCACTATTCACATATTCTACTTTGACTATATTTTATTTATTAACTTATTATAAATTAAATTTTTAAAAAATATTGTTAAAGTCTTCTCATTCTAAAATTTCAAAATATGAATTTTTAAATTTTTTACTAATAAGGAATGAAAGATATTAACGGTCAAACGTGTGTGTTGACAAACGTGAAATGTTGACTGTTGCAATTAAAAGGGAACAGAGGAAGTATATATTAAAAATGAAGACTGAAGATAAATAGAAAGTATATATATATATATATATATATATATATATATATATATATATATATATATATTGTTGGAGATATTCTTCGTCGGAACCTGCAAAACAATTTTAGAAAAAAAATAAAACAGCTCAAGACGCGTTAGACGCTGTCCTAAAGAAAGTATTTCCGGTGGCCGGAAATACTTCCCCAAGATATAACGAGCCCATCGGAAAGTTTGCCGGACACAAAAGTACGAGGATAGAAGTATAATATGTAACCCAGCAGTTTATTAATTAACTAATACGTAGTATAAGTATATTAAAGCTTCGTAAAAGAATTATGACTACGGAGTAGTGGGTTTGTATAATGTTAACAGTATCTTACTCAACTGAAGCATTAACATTCAATTTAAATAAGATGAAACTAAAATGTTTGTTGGGGAATGCTAGGTAATCCACGAAAGGGGGAGAAAATTGTGGTTGTCCATGTATGGAAACCCACATCCCATAATACTCGGTCAATGAATTATTTAAAGTGGAAATTACCCGTCTAGACCACTTTTGATGGCCGCTTATCATTTATGTCCACGCTACTTTCCCTTTTCATTTTTAAACTTTTTTGTTTTCAATTTTGTTTCTTTAATTTCACTTTTAGATGTTCGGCTACCTCCTCCTCCATCCTCTCCTCTTTGTCTATCTGACTTCACTTTCCCTTCTCTTCTCTCCAAATACCTCTTACCATCTGAGTATGAGACTATGAGAGTATCCGAATGCATGGAAGATATCATCCACATCACGATGGATGGAGTTCTCGTCACTATGAATTGTTCTCGCTGGAGCGGATGGCGCAGCGCCTCGAGAATGGGAGATTGCATCTCAGCTTCGAGAGACTATGATTTGAGCTTTGAGCTTTGAGTTCACAAGTCGCAACACACGTAGAGGATCGATCGATCCTTAATCACAACAATCATTTAGAACTAAATCAAAGGACCGATTTACATGGTTTGAATTGTCTATGTAGGTAATCTTTCTCAATGATGGCTCTTAAATTGAAAAGAGTTAGTTCAGCTGGGGATGGGGCAAACTAAATCACAGAGATCTCGGTTCGTCGATTCACACCACCTGAGACGCCTACCCACCACGAACACGTGAAGAAAATCAGGTCTACACTTACGAAGATGGGGCGCTCACAGTAGCGACTGGATTCATCGTCGATGCTGCGCCCTGACAGGTCGCCTGGTGGTCTCTAGGCTGGGAAGCGGATGCGGGATGACGCTGTCTACATATCCTAGGCTACGACTCCACAGAGTACAGGGCATGGTACATGTTAAGATCTGAAATACGGTCTTCGTCATTGCACTAACAAATTTGGGGCTCCCCTTCTCAGGTTTAGTGTAATCATTGCTTGAGACAACATAATGGCACCAGAAACTTCAAGGATTTCCACAGAACAGATGCAAGTAGGCTGTATCAGCGGGCAGAGGTGAATTTTGACCATAAACCAAACCAGCTCCAGCTCAGACAAAAGCAGATTTGATTTCACCTCTCACACACAGGTTAGATAGGTTTGATGTCTTAATTGAAAGCAATTTTTTAATTGAAGACATTCGTAAATGCTTTAGAATATGCAGATCTCGATTTATGGTGTTTCATGTACTAAAATTGTAGATACTAAGTTATCATCCTGATTTTAATTGAAGAAAACACAAGCTATTAAGTTATCTAATCAGACTTATTTTCCTAGAGTTTGAACTTTGAACAGAGACTTGGGGTAAGGGAGTAAGAATCCTTCTGGTTCTGGAGCCTGTAGTCTTGTGCCCTGAGATGATGCAAAGGATAAGTTGAAATCTCATTCTATCCTTGTCAATTCATCAGGTTGTGTTTCTCTATTACTTCAACTAAATAAATTTCAAAATATATATTTGTCTGGCAGGAAAATCAACTTATGCAGCAGCAAGATTTTTTTGAATTTCCAAATAAGCATGCAATCATTAAGATGCTTTGAATCAGTTTGTGTTATTATGAAGTTTTTGTAGTTCAATTGCTTGATTTCGTTTTATGGATTGTTAATTATACTATGATATTCTGAAAAACTAATTTATAGTATAAGACCTAACAAGTAATAAGCCTTGAAACTAATTTTCAAATCCTGAAATGTTCTTTGCACTTGATCAAAATGTATGTTAAGATCAATATGAGAATTATTTTAAGATCCTGTTTTGAAATCCTGTTTGCTCTAATTTTCAAATCCTGAAATCTGCTTTGTACTTGATCAACATCATATGCTTTATTGCAGTATGAGAATTACTACAGAAATTTAAGGTTAAGATCAAAATGCTCAATCGTGTAAGGAACTTGCAGAGGAATCCAATTAGAATATGGAAATAATTTGAAGATTTCAGAGGAAGAACATTTCATCTATGCAGAAATGACAAAAGAAAATATATTTGGGAGCTTTTGCAAATGAAGAATCATGTAGCTACTCTCAGTCATTCAGGTATTCATACAAAAAGTCACTTTGTTCCTTAAAGGTTACAAAAGTGATATTACTTTCAAATACTCCAATTGTTTTGAAGGGGAATTTTCATGACTTATCCCCATGTGCGCTGAGAAGGACCTAGATCGATTGCTACGGCTGCTGCTATTTTTTTTAGTCACTTAGTCGGTGTGCTTTTTAGGTTATGAAATATCAGAAAAAGTTATAAAGTATATATGTACCTACTTCTATTTTATTGACTTATCTCCTTAAGTCTTTGTCCACCATTGCAAACAAAATTCACAAGCTCATTTTTTTGTTTCTTTTTGTTGCTTTTGTTTCTTTTTGTTGCTTTTGTTTCTTTTTGTTGCTTTATAATTTGTTGCCTTTTGTTGTATTGTGTTTCTTTTTGTTGCATCATGTTGCTTTTTGTTTATCGTTTTCAACTATTAATCTTTGTTGTTTGTTTTTCTTTATGATTCTATTTGTATGTAGTAGTTTGATATTTAGGTGTGTGTAGGCAGTAGGCACACACCTATGATGATAAAATTTAACCATGGATTGCCTGTTTTGCAAGTACAGATGGACTCAGTGGAATGTTTTCTTTATATGGACATTCACCAAGGAAGTATGGTGGATGATAGTCGAGACTTAAAAAGCATACTTCGATCACGCTCGATTCAGTAAAAAGTGTCTTAAACAATGAGAAGGTGCAAGGATAATGAGCAAGACCGTTCGGCAACCTCTTTTCTGCAATGTTTACACAATTTGGAAGCCTAGGGAAGAGGCTATATTTGCTCATAAGGTGATTAGTGTTGATAGTGTGTTTTTGCATATTAAACCTTGATGTACAGGGTGTTATTCATACTGTCTCCTACCATTTTTATTGATTTTTTATGACAGTTTCATTGTTTCTTTCTTGATTATTTCTTAGGAGTTTTGCATGTATGTACTAATATGCAAACTTTTGAGTGGTGATTTGCCTTGTACTTTGGTGATAGAGGAGGAGTAATTGTGGAGTGCATGGTGCTGATGTTGTTGCTTTGGGCAAACTCTGCCGGTCAAATTATTCAGATTATATGATGATACTGTGTTGCTTTGGGCAGACTCTACCAGAGTACCAGTCAGATTATGTGGATTATATTATGCTGCCGTTAGTTCCTTGGGGTAGATTATACTTTGGGAAAATCGTTTGAGGTTGTTTTATTTGTAGTTTAGTGGAGTATGCATTGACTTGTTATGCTCCTAATCCTTAAGTAGGAGTATCAAATATGCGCCTTTGTGATATTGTAAATTACAATTTTGGCATTTGATTTAGTTTTCCCGTTATTAAATAAAAGTGCACCATGGAAATCAACAATTTAGAAACATAAACAAACAATAAAAAACAAAATTTTAAGAATTAGCAACATGAAGAAACACAAGGAAACAATAGGAAACAAAAACTTACTTATTCTAAAGTATTTTTTCTAAATACTTTAGAAAAAATGATTTTTTTAAAAAGAATTCAATTTTCAATTTTTTGAAGTTCTCTAGGTAAGTATTTTATAATTTTATTCTCTGTGCATATTTTAATTTTACACACTTGTAGGTTACTTTCATTTTCTATTTTTTTTAAATTTTATGTAGTATATTTGTTTATTTTACTACATACGGAGTGAAGTTTAATTTATAATTTTAGAAATATTTCAATATTTATATATTTATTTGATATTTTATTTTTTATATGCATATTTTCCATTTTTCAAGATACCTACTTTTTTCACGAAAGCATCTAATTACTTTTATACCTTCTTATTATTTTGCCTGTTTTATACTACGTACCTTTTTTATTAATATTTCGATTTTTTATTATTCAAAAAGTTACATAATCAAAATCATATTTTCTACCTTTTTACAATTTCTCCACATTGTATACTATTTTTACTTTTTTATATGTTTGTTTTTAAGTTTTTATTTTAAATTTTTGTATATGTTTCTTATTTCCAGATGTTTTTTAAAAAAATTACATTCATTTTTATTTTTTTTTAATTTAATTTACATGTTTCTGATTTTTTCCTTTTTAATTGTTTCCGTAATGATTTTTTTATTTTTTTTCAAAATTCAATATTGTTTTTTACATTTTTTATTTTTCTATTGAAAAATAAATTTAAAGGTTGTTACACGGTCACACCATGTACTACGTACGGAGTATTAGTTTTTGAAAGAGGTGGTAGCAATGCAAAACTCACGTGCGTGCACCTTCGAAGATAAAAATGCAGCATGGTAACGGGTAAGTGAGTTTACCGGTAACGGTCTATTTTTGAAAGAAAAAATCTTAAACAGCCTACGATTGAAAAAGAGTTTAAGTGGTGACAATAGTGATATTATTTTCACGTTTATGTCTATTTGTGAAAATTACCCTTATTTAAAAGACATATCTGATTTAATTATTCAAAAGATATCCGTACATAATAGTTCAATATATTTATTAAATAAATTATATATAAAACCATTTAAAACTTATTTTGTTTATTTGAAATAGTAAATAATTTTCCAACATATATATACATGTTGTTCAACGTTCGGTTCGGTTTATGGTTTTTCCGTTTTAAACCAAAGAAAACCAAAGTACCAAACCGTTCGGTTTGAGCAAATGTTTAGCAAACGGTTTACTTAAGTAAACCCAAATCAAACCAAATCAAACCACCAATTTTAATAATATATGAAAGTTTTTTTGAGTTTCTTTAGTTCGGTTCGGTTTTGTTCGGATTTTATCGGTTTCGGTTTGATTCGGTTCGATTTAATACGGTTTGGAAGAAATAATACCAAACTCAAACCAAATTGCATATGGTCCGGTTTCGGTTTGGTTTAGTTTGGTTTGGTACAATTTGGTTCGGTTAAACCAAACTGTTATGTCCACCCTTACTTTTAGACATAGCTCTGGGAGTTTGATGCATACAGGGCTAAAACTCATTCCAAGTCCAATTTCGGGACCTCCGCCATCATAAATTCAAAATCCACACGCCGAATTGAAGGCTTGATGCTCAATCCCCGAAAAGCTTACAATCCATATCTCTCCGCCGACGCTCAACCGTCTTCAAGACTTCGGTCGGTTGTCAAGGATTCGGATTATGTAATTCATTTTTTTGTTTAATTTGCGTCTGCTAAAGCAGGATCTTAAAGCTGTCTAAGTTATTATGGCGAGAGGAGGTAGAACCAGCCAGCTGCCGGAAGAAATACTTGACCATATTTTGGGATTATTGCCTATCCAAGAAGCTGCTAAAACTGCAGTTCTGTCTACGGTTTGGAGGGATCTCTGGACCACTCTCACTCAGCTTTGCTTTGATGATCACTTCTTTAAGTGTTTTGAGAAAAATTATCCGTGGGCTGGGGAATATAGGTTTTACGTATTCACCAAAATTCTGTTGCAGCATAAGGGAACTATTAGGAAATGTGTCATTAATTTATCTCATGCTAGGATTCCTCATGTGTGGTCTCTCTCCTTTGACTGTGATAAGTGGTTATCTTTAGTTACATCTAAAGGTGTTCAAGAACTCCTCCTAAATTTTGGGTTTCCAAAATACAAGCTGCCCAACTGTATCTTTTCGTGCAAAACACTCACGACCTTGCATCTTCGAGGTTTCTCCATCGAACCATTGAATTTGCCTTGCACGTTGCCGCCTAATCTCACATCACTTTGTTTGGAATATGTTACATTTGCTCCTACAAATGTTTCAAATTATGTTGTTGACGTTCCTATGCTGAAGAACCTGTCCTTTCGGAGTTGCACGAATATATTACACTTCAAAACTACTGCTAGAAACCTTTGCAGTTTGACAATTAATGGTTTATGTGGTGAACTTGACCAATCTCTCTGGCTCAACTTTGACTTGAAATCTATCCGTACTCTTGACTTGGGCTATTGGTCTCTCCAGGTATTTTAGCTAGACTTTTTTTTCTTGAATGTCATCTGTTTATAACCTATTACAGTTTACATATGAAGTGATGCAAGTTCAATTTCATATGGTTTCCAGAATTTTCTTGGCCCAAGAGCTCAATTTCAGCCGAATGCGCTGAGTGTGGAATTGGTGAAGCTATCGGGACTTTGTTTCGAATATCATGTTGACGTCTCTGCATTTGTATGCTTGCTATGCGTATGCCCGAAGTTATGCGAACTTGAAATAACTTTTTCGGTAAAAAAAGTATCACTTCTATTTAATGTCAACACATTTAGTAAAGTTGTGGTTTTCATGTTCTTCTGCGTGTTGGGCTACCAAAATATTGTGGGTAAACCTCTTATTTGGCCACCAATAGTATGAAGTTCATACGTCCTCCGTCCCATTTTACCTGTCCTGGTTTTTTGTTAGGTGTCCCAAAATAAGTGTCGAATTTCCCGTTTTTGGAAAAAATATGTGATTTACGGGATTTCACTTTATTATAGTTAAATCTAAACTAGAACTTTTACTTTCTCAACTTCTTTGTTAATAATTGTCACAAACAAAACTAGGACACATAAAATGGGATGAATGTAGTAATATTTTATCTGTGGTATATAATGTTGAACCTTTTATTTATTTTTTTCTTTTTTTTTGCTTTTACTTAGGAGACATCACTGGACTTTGAAGCTATAGATGCTACATCAAAGAGATTGAAAAAACTTTGCAGAGTATTTCGAACATACGAAAGACTTCTTGTTTTGAAATTTGGGTTATTCTGTGGATACAGGTCTCAAATGCTTTTCATTATGGAGATGTTGGCATGTGTTCCTTCCCTTGAAAGGGTTATCTTTATGGGCAACTGTATGTATGGGTATGAGAGCTACAAGAAGCATGAGATCATGGAGGAAGTGTTGTGTTTTCCGCGTGCATCTATTAAAGCAAAAATTGTTTATTAGCAGCTTAACTTTCCAAGTTGTTGAATGGAAGGTAGTCTTTTGCATGTGCATTAATGGTACTGTTATGTTAAGCACTGCTGCACTGAGGATGTAAGGATATTATGTTTTTAATTTGTGCAAAAAATTGTAAGAAAGAGATGATACTTTTTATCAAAAGGTTCACGTATGCAGTGTTATAGTACAAGTTTTTTGTATATATGAGGATGCATATCTGGCTGGAGTGATGCCCAAACAGAAAGTAAAAGTATTAAAATTAGCTGCGTTTTTGTGAGAGCACTAAAATGACTGTAATGTAAATTTAAACAAAGTCATGATCAAGTTTCTATTATAGGCATGCAACATGATTAAAGTGTATCTATTAAATTTTTTACACATTTACCATAATGTCACTGTGCTTTAATGTTAAAAACATCTCTCTTTTCATTTTATCAAATTAAAAGCCTTTAATTTACCCACAATTTCTTATTAGGGGGTCGAGGGATAAAAAACTACTAGCACTATTAGGGTAATAGGGTTTAGGGGGTCAAAAGTTCACATTTAAGAGCTCGTTCAGTCCATGGCGGTAACTTAGGACGGCAGATAATAAATTTTGATCATTTGCGCTTAAATGTGTAATAGTTAGGGTGTTTTCTTTTGAAATGTTTTCAATCCCAGATCAGATCAGACCAATCAGACTTTCTTAGTTATAAAATACATAGAGACCTGACGTTTACCAGACCAGATCAGACCAGACTAGATTATACCAGCAAATTTTAGTCTTAAAGAAAACATCCTCGGAGTAATATTTTTTTAAAATTTTAATTTATTCATAATTCAATAGATTCTACAAATTCAATAGTTTCACTCAAAGTTTAGGGTATGTTTGGTACAACTAATTTAAAAGTTGCTTTTATGAGTTTTAGTAATTGCTAGATTATAGTGATCGAAAAAATCTTTAAAGAAAGGTAGTGACTGTTTGATATAAAATTGACTGTTTGCTTTAGTTATGTTTGGTACCATATATAAGCTCTTGAGATTAATTAATATTAAAAGTTACAGACTTTTTCTCAGATGTTAATTCATTTACCATCTCAAAATATTCTTTTATTTTTGAAAAAACTATTAAAAGTTTGCATACCAAACACACATCTAGAAACTTTTAAGGACTTTTTAAATAGTACAAATACAAAACTTAGAAGGTAGGAACATATGTCTACCAAACATGCACTTAATGAATATGTTTGACATAACAATTTTTAAGAACTTTTTAAGAAAATAAAAGATCTAATTTTAGATGCTACACTAATTAGTACCATCTCAGAAAAGCCCGATCGCTTGTATACCAACAAAACTAAATCAAATAGTTATCGATTAGGGACCCGAAAAATAAACTCTATCAATATGAGACCTATAAGATCAAAATCTATCAATACAATGCTCAAAATTTTAACGCTATTAACAAGCAACTTACGGAAATGTGATGTGGCGCCACATCAATTAAAATTTTGTAGGTCGTAAATAAAACTGCCACATCACACGTCCCAATCGTGAATCTTCCAAACCTATACGCACTACGCAGCCGCCTATCCAAGGTCGACAACTTCCTTCTTCACATACAAGATTCTCCAATTTGCATCGAAGGTTTGTACTTCCTCCCATCGGTGGTCAAATAAAAACACAATTTTCTTTCATCATCACAAAATTGTCCACATGCCACTTGCTGCAATAAGGTTTAAACCGTGGCCATCTTGAATTTTCTGCTCCAATTCACCCTGACAGTTTGACATAGCACACTTTACATTAATTTGTGTAACCGTATATTTTCGTTATCTTTTGCTCTGTAACAGCAAATATGAAACAGTTTTTTAAAGTAACTGTTACTTATGTTTCACCATGAGATCACACTTTTCATCACTGTATTTTAATTATTATTATTTTTGTTTTCTGGAACTTTGTCATTGTTTTCTATACAAGGCAGCAGCAAATTAAAAAATGATGAATTAGAGGGTGCATATAGTTTACAAGTATTATTTTCATTACGTCTATGTATTTAGAAGTCATACATAGAAGTATTTTATTAGAGGATATATACAGTTTTGCTTTAAAAGTGAAAAGTATTGTTAGTAGTTTATAAACAGTAGAAAAATACATCATAGCCATAAGTGAAACATAAATTGAAAATCAGATTAGAATTATAAAAGTGAGTAAAATGAAACACTAGAGAGAACCTATGCAAACTCATAGAGTGCACGTGCCTGGGTTGAAGTAAATTGATGTGGTGGTATCATTCCTAGATTATTTTATATTGGAGAATGTTTGATTTGAATGTAAATAAGATAAGCTAAAAGATAGAATTATGTTACAATTCACTGCATTTCAATTATGTTTTACTTGTTTGACAAAAATTATGTTTCAATTATGTTACTTGCATTTCAATTATGTTTTACAGATGGCATCAGAAAATGATGAATGGGGTTTAGATGAATATAACAGTGATGATGACAAACAACCAGCCTATTAGTCACTTGCCACGAATGATACATTTGCTATGTTTCGTGATACAAGTGACTTATCTAATCTCTCTGATCCAGCTACGATACAATCCTTGGAAGAATTAAAGAGCATTCATGACTCTGAATCTCCTACAAGCGCAGATGAAGTTGACTCAGAGCATATTCAAGCAAGTCTCTGGGAGGCTAACTTCAGGTTGGAACAATCTTTTGCATCTATAGATGACTTTTATGAAGCTGTTAAAAGCTACTGGGTTCGAAATATGTATAAGTTGAACTTTGTGAAGAAAGATAAGATAAGATGTCGTGTAAAGTGTGTGAAAATTTGCCCATGGCTTATATATTGTTCCAAAGTTGGAAGTTTGGAAACATACAAGGTCAAAACATTCATCTCTAGCCATAGTTGTCAAAAGGAGGGAGTGAAAGCAAAATTTGCGGATACTAAGTGGTTGGGAAATAAAGTAGTTGAAGACATCAGAGAGCACCCTAATATCACAGGTGAGGAATTAAAAGGTCTTATATATAAGAAATATAATGTCACCGTTAGTATTGCTAAGGCATATAGAGTAAAAGCATATGCTTCACAATCACTCCATGGAAATGTTGCTCAACAATATTCTAAACTGTCGGATTATTGTGCGGAGTTAGTCAAGACCAATCCTAGATCAACAGTTGAATTGATTGCTCCAAAACATGGTGAGAATGGCCCATCGATCAAGATTTGATAGAATATATATATGTATAGATGCGTGTAAAAGGAGGTTTGTAAATGGATGTCGGCCACTAATTGCACTAGACGGGGTCTAAGCAGGTATTATTGTGGGCAGCTTCTTGCAGCGGTTGGTCTCGATGGCAACAATGGTCTGTTCATTATAGCATACGCTATAGTTTCATCTGAAACTAGAGATACGTGGGTATGGTTTTTAAATAACTTGATTGCTGATATTGGACAAACATCCGTACATGGAGACAATTGGACATTCATTTCTGACCAAGGAAAGGTAAGTATACTTTACAGATTTTTTTTCTTAAATTCGTATTTGTCTTTATTAATAGGGTTAATACTTTGTAGTTTTTTTTTACAAATCAGTTTCATATTTTTCTTCTTTGGTAGTGTCTTGTGGCTGCACTAGAAAAAGTGTACCCATCTTCACATCATCAATTTTGTGTACGTCATATGTATACCAACTTTGAGAAAAAGTGGAAGGATGAACAAGTGAGATCTCTATTTTGGTTAGCTGCAAGATCCACCACCACGAATGCTTTTGAAAGACACATGAATAAGATGAAAAATAAAAGATTACACTGCATGGGAATATCTCACTCGAATAGGTGTTGAGAGATGGAGTAGAGCACATACACTTTCAAAATCATGTTAAGTGTCACGTGTTTTCAAGTGGCATTGTTGAGTGCTTCAATGGAGTCATAAAAAGGTATAGAGACAATCACGTGGATATTCATATCGATAATATAAGGACCAAAACAATGAAGTTAATAAAAGCTTAAAAATGGTGCACAGGGTAAAAAGAATATAAAAAAAGAGGAGAAATTGCATTTTTTTGTCCCTCAACTATTACCCACATCCAAATTTAGTTCTCGCATTAAACATTTTGTAAACATTATCAATTTTCATTGAACTTTTGTAAATATGGTGCTCGCGGTTAAAACCTATGTTGCACGGATACGGATACGCCGATATGCGGATACACGAATACGGGTACGGCGATACGGCAATTTAAAAAATTATAGGATACGGGTACGGTGGTATATTTATAAATAATAAAAATATAGGGTTTAATTTGTAAATATATATAATTCAGGGATTCATAAATAAAATAACTACAATACAAAAAATTAACTATTATAATAAAATTTCAAAGATTACGCTGGAAAATCTAAAGTACTGATATTTTGATTTAAATTCAAATAATATTTTTTGTTCTCTATTTGCATTCACATCTAAGTTTCGTTTCAATTAAACTTCATCAAGCGATAAAATGACAAATAAATTATAGTATTCCATTATTTTTCATACTCCCGAAATCATCTTTATCAATGTTCCGCATCTTGTGGTCGCTTGGGCGGCTACTAAGTTTTCGTCATGTCGTTTACGAAATGAGGATTATAGGAGCGGATACGCGTATCGGATCACGGATACGGGTATCCGTTTACGCATACGGGTATCGGAAGTATCGGTATTTTAAAAAATAAGCCCGATACTTTTATTAAATTACGGATACGGACCCAATACGTACAGGACGCGTATCGGTATCGGATACGTATCGGATACGCGGATACGGTATCGGGGTGAAGTATCGGTGCACCGTAGGTTAAAACTAAACCATTACTTTTTATAATTTTTACATCGATAATAGTTAATCTCAAAAGTTAGGTCATAGACCAAAAAAATATAGTTAAAAAGCTATTTTTATAGTCAATAAAAGTAGGGCACAAACAGAAAATGTTCGGATAAAGCAAACATATGTACTACGTATCATTTTTGTGTGGGTATATATACGGAGTATATACTAGCGGACTACGCACTATGTGCCAATAATGCCCAATATTTACATATATATTTACTTGTCAAAGTGTTGTGTGCTAATTTTCAATTGATATTTTTTCACTCTTCAAATTTACGTTGTCTTTATTTGAGTAGTAACTTTAAAATTTGCGTTGTAACATTCAAATGATTATTTGAATTTTAAATAAAAGGTGGTATGTTTACTTTAGAGTTTAATTTCTTTTTTAATTACTAGTTAATAGGAA